TCATGATGCTGCCACCACCGTGCTTCACATCATGATGCTGCCACCTTCATACTTCACATCATGATGCTGCCGCCACCGTGCTTCACGTCATGATGCTGCCACCACCGTGTTTCACATCATGATGCTGCCACCGCCATGCTTCACATCATGACGCTGCCACCTCCGTGCTTCACGTCATGATGCTGCCACCACCATGCTTCACATCGTAATGCTGCCACCTCCATGCTTCATGTCATCATGATGCTACCACTGTGTTTCACATCATGATGCTGCCGCCTCCATGCTTCACAGTGGGGATGGTGTGTTTGTCATGATGGTCCGTGTTCCCTCATCAGACCAAAGAACTTTCTTCTAGGCGACTTCAGAGTCTCCACGTCTTCTGGTGAGTTCTGCTTAACATTTATATTTCAAGAACCAGAATAATGTATTTATAAAGGTACAACTGGTGTTGCATCAAACGTGTTCCTTTAAATAAACCACAAGAGTCGAGGTTTCCTTTCCTTTTATTTGACCTTTTTACAGCTATGCACATTGAGTTGGTTTTAATACAGTTAATTTATGTGGAGCTGAAATATTGCATATGAAGAACATTCAGACCAGCAGCTCCCCAATCACTTTATTACTGTACCCTAAAGGGAGATCAGAGAAACATCACCTGAAATAAATACAGATCATAAACTCGTCTCAAGGCTCCAACAGAACATGAAAAGAACCGTTCTTTAACGGACAAAGCTGCTGAGTGAAGAGAGAAAACATCCCAGAATGACTGAAAGGTGGAGTTCTGCTAAAAGGTTTCAGGATGTTCTTCACATTGTTTTTTGATTCTCTTCTCCTGCAGTTGAAAATTAGACAAACTTCTGCAGCATGAACTGAATTTATGAGCAAAAAACCAAAAGGGCAAAGCGTGCACATGTGAGGCTAGATTTCTGCAGCCGAGAGACATTTGACTTCCTCCAAAGTCGACCGCGTTACAAGAATAAATGTGTGAAACCTCTGGTCAAATAATCTGCAATTATCACATTATTACATGCACACAAACGCTGCAGCTTCTCTGAGCAAAAAAAAAAAAAAAGGCCAAATAGGGACATTAACTTCCCCAAAATAGAAATTAAATCTAAAATATGTCGAAGAAACCAGTCGAATAGTTTGAAACGGCTGTTTTATGATGATTTTACATCTTGTTTTTCTTGCTTTGTGTCTCTTTTTATTCCATCTGCAGTAGTTTTGTGTCACTTTACAGCCTTTTGCATGTTGAAGCTGCAGTTTTCTCTGTTTTCTTTGGTTTTGTATCAATTTGTTGTCATTTTGCATCACTTTCAGTTCATTTTCATCCTTTTCTGGTCATTTTGAATCCAATAGTGTTGCTTTTTTGTGTTTTAGGTGTTTTTTTCTCTCTTAATTTTCACTGAATTTGCAGCTATTTGTGCTCATTTTTCAAGCATCTTACATCTATTTTTTTAATTGGTTTGCGTCTCCTTGCAGTCGTTTACATGTGGTAGTTGCAGTTGTACCTGCCTTTTACTTGGTTTTGCGTCACTTCCTGGTCATTTTGCATTAACTATTAGTCTGCTTTAATCTCTTTACGGTCATTTGGCATCGAGTCGCGGTGTGTTTGAGTGTCTTCAAGGTGTTTTTTTTTGTTTTTTTTTTAAATCTGTGTACACTGAATTCGCATCTATTTGAGTTCACACAGAAACGCTGCAGGTTGTCGGCCGACAAAAACAAAACAAGTCAGATTTTAACTCCTCCAAAACAAAAAAATATCAGAAATATGTGGAATAAATTGGCAGAATAATCAAGATTTGCTGTTTCATGGTGATTTTTCTTCTACTTTTTGTTGGTTTCTGTCCATTTGTGGTTGTTTTTGTGGTGAATTGCTTTGAGTAGTCGTCCTTTTGTGAGTCGTAGCTGCAGCTTTAACTGTCTTACCTGGTTTTTGCATCACTTTGTGTTCATTCTGCATCATTTTCAGTTGGTTTTAACCTCTTTATGGTGACTGAGAGGTGGTTTTATCTCGATTTGCAACGAATTTCCAACTATTTGTGTTCATTTTCTGTATTCGTGCTCGTTTCAGATCTGCTTTTTGTTGGTTTTCTTGGTTGTAGCTCTCGTTTTAACTGGTTTTGCATCATTTTGCACCTTCTTCTGTCAGTTTTCTTTGCTTAGAGGCGTTTTCTTTTCTTAGTTTTCACTGAATTTGCATCTATTTGTGTTCATGCTGTGAGCGCAGGAACACGGCAGGTTGTCTGGCCAAGAAAAGGCAAAATAAACGAGATTTAAACTCTCCCAAAATAGAAAATAAATCTAAAAGGTGGAAGAAATTGGCTGAACAGTTGTGTTAAAGACTCGGCAGCTTCGGTGTGAATGAGTGAATAAAGGAAGTCATTGTAGGTTCTCTGGATCTGCTGATGCTCTAAATGAACGCAAACCTTTTACTTTTCGTGTCAGTCAAACGTACAGAAGAGGTCGGCGTGTTGTTGCCGCGGCCGACCAGCAGAGGGCAGCTTTTCTCCAAACAGCAGCTCAGTGATTAAACAGCGACTCTTTCCTCTACGTCTGCAGCTACTCTGCCATACAAACGGGTAAACTCCTGCTGCTCCTCCGACTCCCACAAAACAAGACGCAGCAGGTCCAGTTGTTCCCTGAAGGCTCTCTGGAGGTTCTCCGGAGGTTCTTACTGTTGGCTGGCTGTGGGGCTCCGGCCCTCGTGGTTCAGCGTCGCCCTCTCCATGCGTCTGTACCACGCCTTCACTTTGGTGTTGGCCAGCATGTCGTCGAAGGCCTGCAGACCCTCCATCACCCGCAGGACGCCGAACACCGCCTGCACACAGGACGCAAACATCACTCGTCAACACTCGGCATCGATTCAGGTCACCGTGTGTTCACTTTGCATCTATTTAGGGTCCTAATGAGTCGCTCTGTTGCCGTTTAGTGAATCTTTGTGGCAGTTTTTGAGCAAAGTTAGTGTCATGTTGATGTTTTTATGGCTATTTGTGTTCATTTTGGATCTTTTTTTATTGGTTTGTACCTCTCTGTGGTCGGTTTTTGTGTGTTTGTACTGAATTTCTATCTATTTGTCTTAATTTTAGCCAGTTCACGTCTCTTTTTGGTGTCTTTTTGTGTGTCTTTGTGTTCATTTTGCATCTTTTTACACATAATTTATACCTCTTTTGTGGTGTTTTTTGTGTTTGCACTGTATTTACATCTACTTGTAGTAATTTTGTCTTAATTTTAGTCAGTTCACGTCTCTTTTTGGTGTCATTTTGTGTGTCTTTGTGGCCATTTTGCATTTAGCAGTGTTTATTTTGCATCTTATTTAATAACTAGTACCTCTTTGCAGTCGTTTCTTTCTGAGTTTGCACTAAATTTTCATTTATTTGTAATCATTATTGCATAATTCTAGTCAGTTTCCATCTCTTTTTGGAGTCATTTAGTGTGTCTTTGTGGCCATTTTGCATTTATTAGTGTTCATTTTGCATCTTTGTGGTTATTTCTCTGTGTTTGCACTGAATTTTCATCTGTTTGTAATCGTTTTGTCTTCATTTCAGTCAGTTTGCATCTCTTTTTGGTGTCATTTTGAGTGTCTTTTGGCAATTTTGCTTTTTTTTATTGCTTTGTACCTCTATGTTCATTTTTGTCTTTGTGATCCTTTGTGATCCTTTGTGATAATTTTTGTCTTTGTGATCATTTTTGTCTTTGTGATCCTTTTTTTTTAATGCAGTTTGCATCACTTTCACCTTTTTGTGTCTATTTGGGATTTATTTCTGTTCATTTTGGTTGTTTTGTCACTCTTTGCATTCGTCCTTTTGGTGTTTGCACTACATTTGCATTCACTAATGTTCATTTTGTGTCTTGATTCCAGTCAGTCTGCATCTCTTTGTACCACTCATGAATTCATTTGTGAGTCTCTGTCCTGTTCTTTTGTCACTGCACATCGGCTTTACAACCATTTGTCCTCATTTTGCATCTATTTTTAATCGCCGCTGTCACTCTACGCTCAGGTTGCATCTCTGTCTGCCGTTTTTCTGTCTTTTGTCGCCATTTTACACCCGTTTGTGTTCATCTTCCATCTTTTTATGGATCTTTGTTGGACATTTTTGGTTGTTGTGAGTCTTTTTCTTGCAGTCATTTGTGATCATTTTGTATATTTTTGAATGGTTTGTATCTTTATGGTTATTGTGTCTTTTTCTTTTATTCAGTTTTGAATCATTTTATGGTCGCCAGGCTCATTTACATCTACTTATTCTCGGTTTATGTCTATTTCTCTTTGTACTCAGTCTGTTTGTGGTCCTACTGTGTCTTCAGAGGTTTTATCTCTGAATTTCCATCTACCTGAGTTCATTTTGCATCTCTTTATGCTCACTTTTGATTGCAGGTGTTTCCTTTGTGTTTCTTTACAGTTTTTATTGGCACCAGCGTTTTGTTTTTGTGCGTTTTCTCACCAGGTCCGCCAGGTTCGGCTGATCTCCTCCCATGAACTTCCTCTTCTTGCCGATGGCGGCCACCCAGTCGTTCACGGCCTTGTAGAGGTCCTGCCTGACGTCGTTCTGCAGGTTGTGTCTGTCGGGTCAAAGACGACAAAAATCAACACTGACGTCCAAACGGCGACTTTAAGTCAAACACTGCAGGAGGCGGATCCACGCTGAGCCTCACCGTTTCTTCAGTTGCTTGGAGATCACAAACATGGCTGTAGCGCCGACGTATTTGGCGAAGAAGCCCTCGAACGTGCCAAACTTGCCCTCACGAACGATGTAGTCGAAGGAGGCCAAGGCCTCGCCGGTGGTCCGGTAAACGTTGGGAGATATGAGGTGGACGAGCCAGTCGTCGGCCCACTGACGCCACTTCATCTCCTCTCTGGAAGAATCATAACTACAATAAACTCTGCTTCTGCATCACCTTCTATAGGCAAACTGAAATTAAAAAACATAAAACATTGGATAAAACAGTAACAAAAATAAAACAGTAAAAAAAAAAAAACAGTGCAAGAGCAAAAACAGAGCATCAGAGAGGAAATATGAAAATATAAAAATGCTTAAAAGCAGCACAAACAAACATTGAGGCAGTAAAACTGGACGATTCAAAGCTGCAGCAGCTCGCGCTTAAACAACAGCTACGTCTTGAGGTTTATTGAGGTGGTTTAAACGACATCATCTCAGGAACTATTGAAGATCAATTTCTCATCATGTCACTGACTCAGAATCTGCAGATGCTTCCAGTGTTGTTGTGTTTGTCATATCTGCTCACTCAGTTCAACTAAAATAACTTCCTCTTTGTTTTTGTGACCAAGTACTTCACATTCTAAAGTGTTTTATATGTTTATTTTGTATTATTGTGACCTGCAGCTACACGTGGTTCAGAAAACATCACTAGTCGACTTCTGCTTTATCAGTTTTTAACTATTATGAGCTCAAAGATGGAACTTTTCATAACGGCTTCAGTTTGTTTTCATTGTTCAACTCAACAAAAATCACAGATTATTTTAATCTACTTGTCTGATTTTACAGATTCTGAATCAATGTCATGATGAGAAATAAGAGCGACAATGTCAGGTTCTCATCTTAAATAGTTATTGAGATGCTGTCGTTCAAACAGCCTCAAAAAGTGACTCAACATGCAGGTTTTTAAATGTTTTAATCTCCAAATCGGTTTGATTTATGAAGCTAAAATTTCAAAGATAACATTTTAAACAAACGTCGTTTATGATAACGATGATCTGAGATGGAACAACCCTGCAGCAACCACTGAGATTTTTAATTCATTGACTTTTCTTTGCAGAAATCTGTTTCCACTTTGACATGAAAGAGACTTTTTTGGGGGTAAATTCTTGACAAAAACTCAAAATGAACCATAATTCAACATTGAGAAGCAGTAAAAGGTGCAAAAGCCGACATATGCCTGAACAAGAAGAACCTACTTCTGGGTGTCCTTGTTGGGGTAAACGCTGGTGGTCTCGGCCTCGTTCAGCATCAGCCAGTACTTGTTGCTGTACTCGGTCACCTCCTTGCCTCGGTCGTTGAGCGACTTCATCACCGGGTAGCAGCGGACGATTTCCGACACGTTCTTCTCCCTGATGTCACACGTTTCAAACCTCCTGTTAGATTCTGCTTTTCTCACTTCTCTGGCTTGTTTTTTAATTTGGTATTTAATTCTGTTCTATTCAAGGATCCATTAAAATGTCGGTGAAGCTGCTTTTAAAGGTCGCTGCTGTTCTTAAGGCACAGTTTCTACACAAAAACATTATTAGAATGATTATTTAAACAGTCAGTAAATCTATTTATAGAACAGTACAGAGCATTTCTCGTTTTATTTTTAGTTCCATCTGTTTATACAGACTGTTTTAGTTTTATGTAACAGAGCCGTTTTATCAAAGCAGCTATTATTGTACTAAGTATTTAAAAATAATAATAATAATAACAAATGAACTGTCATGTAAAAAAATGTACAAAGAATTAAATAAATCATACACATGATTTATTTAATTTATATAATTATATTTTTTAATTAAATATATGATTTATTTAATTATAAAATGTAATGAACCAGATATATAATAAATCCAATATACATAATTTAATTTGTATAATTTTTTATGTATAAAATTTTACATAGAATTTATTTTGATTTATGTATTTTTTCTAAATCAAATATTTTGATTTATTTAATAATATTAGCTTTATTGAAGTATGAATATAATAAATTACTCAAATATATATTTATACATTTATTAAACAGATGGAACTGAAGGTAGCAGGATATATTTTGAAGGGAGAACATCATATAAATATATGAATTCACTTTACAGTTTAGTTTAATGTGTTATTTACCCTTTTACTGGTGGCGAAACTAATGTTAAAGGTTGCTCTTGTTTCTAAAGCACAAGTTCTAGACAAAAAGAAAAGTAAATTATATTTATTTAAACAGTCAGCAAATCCAATTTATAAAAACATACAGTTAAATATACAGTTTGAGCTTGAAAAAAAATATTATTTTACAAAGTATTTACTTTTTTTTTTTTACTATAAATAGAAAACCACTGGCACCAAGACGCTGGAATCTGCTCGCTTTAGCTCAAAACTTAACTAAAAAACGTCCAATAATTGTGACGTCTGTGGAGCAAAGAGGCGTGTTTCCTTTAACATACGTGACGCGTATCAGTCAGACGCATGTCTAATAAAAACATAATCATCAGTATTTGTTCACAATCAATAAAACATGAAGGAGGCGGAACTCACTTGTTGATTAAAAACGTCTTGAGGGAGCTGATGATCACCGACGAGTCGTTCAGTTGCTGCCGACGAACAGCGGAAAAAACAAAAAGCATTTCAAAATGTTCAAAATGTTGATTCTGCAAATTTAAGTCAAACTTAAAACTGTTTTTGAGGCAAAAATGTTTTTTTTTCTGTACTAATTAAATAATTTAAACTGTGTGTTTGAGGTGAAGAGATGCAAACTGGAAGAACTTCAGCTTCCTTCTGCTCAACCAGCTTTTTTTTTTTTCTTTTTAATCATAAACTGTGAATATTTAAAACAGTATCTGTGTGATTTTAGCTTCATGTTTTAAATAGTTTCTGAGTAAACGTTCTATAAATTAGCTCATAAATAAGGTTTTTTCTCACATTGAAATCTGAGGCTGTTTGAACGACAACATCTCAGAAATTATTAAAGATAAAAACCTGAAATGTTCACCGTTATTTCTCATCATGACATTGATTTGGAGTCTGTAATATCGGACATGTAGCTCAAACAATGTCTGATTATGGGTGAGTTTAAATTTGAAAAAAATAATGGAAGTTGTCATTAAAAGTTCCATCTTTGAGCCACAATAACAAAAAAAACTAAACTGATGAGGCAGAAGTCGACTGGTGATGTTTTCTAAACTAAACATAGAATGCTTTAGAATATAAAACATTTATTCTTGTTGAGCTTTCTCAACTGATTTAGCAGCTTTCAATAGAATTTTTTTTTTCAAAATGGGTCCATTATTATCTATTCTGCAGCTTCTGAATCCTGATGAGACAAAACAGTGAAGACTTCAGGTTTTTATCTTTAATATTTCTTCAGATGTTCAAACAGCCTCAGATTTAAATGAGACAGAAAACCTGATGAAAGCTGGTCGACGGGCAAATTATAAAGAAATGATCAGAGAACCTATCGGAGGTATGAAGCTAAAATTTCACCACCATCTTTATCAAAATCCATATTCTGTGCTGAACATCGTGTGGACGAGCTCCTCACCACGTCTCCGTCCACCATCAGGATGGGAACCTTCCTGTACTCCGACCACTTGATCTCCTGCCTCATCACCGGGTTCACCTCCACCACCTCGTAGGGCAGCCCGTGGTAGTCCAGGAAGGCTCGCACTTTGCTGCAGAACGGGCAGGTCTTATACTGATACAGGATCAGCTTGGGACTCGAAACCTGCACGCAAACAGACTCTGGTTTAACAAAGTGACACCAGACTCTGAGCGTCAGTCAGCTGGTTGTAGCTGGTTGCACACAGACTCTCATCACAAACAACATGACAGCTTGTTCACCTCAACACACTGAACACAAATATTAACACAACACTTTGTTTTTGAAAGATCTGAGACTTTTTCTAGGTACACAAAAGGCCTGTTTCTCTCAAATATTGTTCACAGATGTGTCTGTGTGACTGAGCGCTTCTCCGTCCACCTCCAGGTGTGGCCTCTCTCGATGCTGATTGGACAGCAGGGTTGCTGCTCAGGTGTGTCTGAGGCTGGCCACTGTACATGTGAAGTTTTACTGGATGGGGGGTCAACACAACCACCTCCACTGAGTCACCTGCTGCTTTACTGCAGGACAAGCTGTCAGGTTACTTTTTAACACGTGACAGGTGAGAGCAGCTGCTGTGACGTCACTCAGGTAACTGTTTCCTAGATCCTTGCTTGTGTTGTATCTGCTCTCAGATGTATGTGGCTGTGAATAAAAGCGTCTGCTGAATGAAGTTGTAGAATTGTTCTCCACCGTTTACCAGCAGCAGGTGTTCGGCCTGAGCTTCTCTCTGAGCCTCTCCTGAGTTCACCTGCTGCAGGACCCGGAGCCGGACTCACCTGCTTCTGCTCCTCGGCCAGGTGCTGCTGCTTCACGGACACTCTGAGCGCCTGGTACAGACCCACACCTCCTCCGAGCAGGAAGGCGCAGCTCAGCGCCCTGCGTCCGGCTGCTGCCCGCACAGAGAGCGCCGCCGCCCGGAATCCCGCCCCGCCGGAGCTGTAGCACCTCCTGGAGCCACGAGCGGCCGCATTGCCCAGCAGGTAGGTGCCGGAACTGGACCGGAGCACCGCAGGAGAGTCCACAAAGGACCGGCCGACCTTACACAGAGCTCTAGCGCAGGAGGCCGCCATGTTGGTTACATAAAGTCCCACAATGCACCGCGAGAAAGAGCTTTGAGGGTCGTGGTGCCCCGAGTTCTGCCTGCCAGGCTGCAGCGCCTCTAGCGGCGGGAAGAAGAATGACGTGGTAAAGAAAAGGGCAAAGAAGAAGTGAAAGGTGAAACCTGCAGATACAGACTGAAGAGACTGAATTTATCTCATTGTTTTACAGGTTTTACATCCACAAAGTGAAAAAAAATCGACCACAGACACAGAATGACAAACAAAGAGGTGCAAAGTGTTCACAAAACAACCACAAAATGAGGTGAAACCAGCAAAGGCAGAAAATGACCACCAAGAGACATCACTGCCAAAAGATACAAATTTGAACCATCCATCCATCATCTATACACCATTTAATCCTCTCTAGGGTCGTGGGGGGCTGGAGTCTATCCCAGCTGACTCAGGGTGAAGGCAGGTTCACCTGGACAGGTAACCAGTCTATCACAGGGCTACACTTAGAGACAGACAACCAAGCACACTCACATTCACACCTACGGACAATTTAGAATCACCAGTTAACCTCAACATGTTTTTGGACTGTGTGAAGCTGGAGAACCCAGAGAGAACCCACACTGCACGGAGAGAACATGGAGACTCCACGCAGAAACCAGCAACCTTCTAGCTGTGAGGCAACAGTGCTACCAACTGCTCCACCTTGCAGCCCAAATTTAAACCATAAAAACACCAAACAATAGAGAAATAAATGCCAAAAAAACCCCTACAAAGTAGTATAAAACAAGTCCAGACACAAAATTATGAGCAAAAGATGACCACAAAGAGACGTAAAACACCAACAAAGAGACACAACATGATGGCACAGAGGCAAAACAACCACCAAAAAGATGCAAATGAACTACAAAGGGATAAAAACAACAACAGAATGAGATAAAAGAAGCACAAATGCAAAATGAAACAAAAAAGCAGCCACAAAGAGACGCAAAATACTTCATAACGACCATAAAGAGACACGAAACAACCTCAGACCCAAAGTGGCTGCATAGAGAGACAAAATGATCTCAGAGACACTAAATTACCTCAAAGAGATGTAAAATAGCTACAAAGAAATGCAAAGCAGCCACAAAGCGTGGTAAAGCAAGCGTAGACACACAATTGAACATGCAAAAATAACCACAAACAGACACAAAACTGCAGCAACGAATCCGAAAATGACCACAAACAACACAAAACAACCACAAAGTGATGCAAAAATAACATAGACTCAAGATTGCAAACAGGAATAACCATCTTCGTCATCTTTAATCTCACTTTGACAAAAAATAATGATGCTTTTCTTTTTTTAATTATGTTTTCTGTTAGTTAGAAAACCAACAGAAAACACAACACTTAATGAAACATGACAAGGAAAAGAAAAGGCCACGACATTTCAACATCAACAACAACAAACAAAATACATCATTTCCAGATATAAAACACAAAACAAAAACACAACAACAAAACAAATGAACAAAAAAGAGGAGAAAACACTACAATTGACAACAACACTTCACAGAAAATGCACAATACAAATAAAAAACACACCAAATATCATACAACAATAGAAAACAAAACACAACCAACACAATGCAGCATTTCAGAAAGCACAACAAAACAGAAACACAACAACGAAAACATATAAAAACAAAACAAGCAAAAAAAAGCACAAAAGCAGCGTTTGAGAAAAACAACAATTCACAAGCTCAACACATCAGACCACTCAGCAACTTTCACAAAATATCAGCAAGCGAACAGAAAACTAAACGCTTTATAAAAACATGACGAGAAAAAGAAAACACATTTCAGAGTCAACAACAACAAACAAAAACAAACACAAAACATTTCACACAACAACAAAAAACACAGTGGCTTTTCAGAAAACAACAACAGCAACACAACTACACAAAGAACACATGGGAACGTTCACATCAGAAAACAAACGACTGAACAGAAACAACAACAACAAATTCAAACATAAAAAAACGAAGAAAACAACATTTGACAAAACAATTTGCAGACAACACATTGTACAAAACAGAAACAGAAACTACAACAAAGAAAACACAATGAAATTCACAAAGCACAAACAGAAAGCAAATCAAACACCACAACTTTAACAAAACATACGGCTGTTTTCTAAAATATACTTTTTATTTTGTCAATATATGCCTCACTGTTGTTGTAAGATAAGATGAGCCTTTATTAATCCCACACTGGGGACATTTGCATTGTTCCAACAGCAAATAGTTATTAAATGTAATAACAAATTAAAAAACAATACAAAAGATAAACAAAAGGACTAATTACAGAATGAATGATATTGCATTCAGCGGTTTTGCACAGATTATTTCATGAATGTAAATATTGACATAAGTATGAATATTGCACAGATCACCTGTATTTCAATATTTCATAAATAACATGTAAGCAGACAAGCACCTATGTAGACGATGCTCTAGTATGTGCATAACAAATAATATCGCAAAGGATATTTTAGAAGTCCAGAATATTCATAGTTTACACATTAGAGTCAGTGAAGGTATGATTAGTTTCATTACAACCGTTCAAAACGTTAAAAGTGTTTAATTGTCGCATTAAAACGGTGTTAAAGTGAATGAGAGGCTGTTTAAAGTGTTTTTTGGCCTCTGGTTCGGTGTACGTGTGGTGCGTTCAGGAGCGTCGTCGTTCGGACACGTTCGTGTCTTTCCGTCACTGAGCGGCAGGAGCCGTACCAGCGGCAGGGGCGGCAGCGGCAGAGGCGGCAGCGTCTTGTCCTGCTGGAAGCGGAGATTCTCCTCCGCCAGCAGCAGCAGCAGCAGCAGCAGCATCCATTTACACATCAGCACATCTCCCACATCTCCGTCTCTCCGCCCGGGACTCTCAGCTGGGATGCCGCCGTCGACCGAGGATTTGTCGCGGACGGCGGACGCTGGACGAAACGACCCGCGCCTGTTTTTTCGAGCGTGACCGCGAAGGACGCGCGGCGGCGATGGATGAAGGCACGAGGAGACAAATAAAAATTTGATCATCGCCGGCTAACGCTAGCAGGCTAACGTTAGCTAGCCGCTCCGCTCGCCCCGTCGGACTTGTTGTTTTCCCGGCTCCACCGTCCGTCCACCGGCCGCCGTGGGGCTCCCCTCCTCGAACAAACGCCGTTTTTTTTTGTTTTTAAATTTTTCAGTATCTGTGTCACGACATGCCGGAGCCGCCGAGGACATTTCCGTCAAGGATAACAGAACCGTAGCGCTCCGTTAGCCTCCCGCTAGCTAGCATCTTCTATTTTTTAATTTTTTATTTATTTATTTTTTTTACATTCGGTTTTTTTGTCGTTCATCCGTGAAGATGCTGGCGGAGGAGGAGAGCGTCTGACGGGGAAACTCGCTCCGTGAAGGTCATGATACCGAGAGAATGATCATGCTGGAAAAACAGGTAAGAAATCTGTCAAATGCAACACCTGAGCTCATTTGCATATCGCTAATTAGCCGTGAACGACGGCTGATCAGCTGCTCACGCTCACCTTGAAGCTTCACCTGATCGCCTGATCAATAATCTTCTGTATTGATGCACATATGTCTCCTCCCTGGTCAAAGTCAAGCTCTCTATCACTAACACTAAGTCACATTAATGGAAGCTGATTATCACCCAAATTAAACATAAATAATAATAAAACAGCTGGAAATGGACATTATGGACATTTGGGCTGTGATTGTTTTTCTAGAAATTGATCAAATTATGATAAATTATACAAATCTGTGGTTTTCTCTCTTTTAAACTCAATATATTAGATTTTTTATATTTTTTTTACACTAAACAGGATAAATGTAGACATTAAATTAAAGCTGCAGCAGTTAATCTGCATAATCAAGCTGTTTTTTTCATTTTTTTGGAGCAGAATAATCAAATATTTGCTTGCATTATCAATATTTACTGACATTTTATGGATAAAACAGGAAAAAATATCTTCCAAAACCCAAACATCTGCTGCTTTTCCCTGTGTTAGGTTGCTGTAAACTCAATATCTTTGTTTTTTTCATTTTTGTTTGAACTAGGCAGAGCAAATCAACAGTTAATCTACATATTCAGGCTCTTTTGTCATTTTTCGTAGCAAAACTACCAAATATTTGCTTGTATTTTTTTCTATTTAGTGACATTTTATGGATGAGGTGAGAGAAAAATAATCTCCCAAAACCCAAACTTCACTTGATTTGGTTTCTCTAGTGTGAAAATCTGCAAGTTTTCCTGTTTTTCGCAATTAATTGGCATTTTATGGACATAGTGAGAAAAAATAATATCCGATAGGTGTGAACATCTGCTGCTTTTCCTCGTTTGATATGATTGTAAACTCAATATTTTTGATTGTTTTGACAGTAAACAGGGCGCTGCAGCAGTTAATCTACATAATCAAGCTGTTTTGGTTGTAAAATGACCAAATATTTGGTATTTATCTGGAATTATTTCAAGACATTTTATGGATAAAGCGTCAAAATAACCTCAACAAACCCAAACATCTGCAGGTTTGGGTTTCTCTGATGTGAAATTAGCAAATATTTGCTGTTTCCAACTTCTCATATTTATGCACTTTTGGTTTGTTAGAATAAAACGACACATGAAAAAATGAGCTGCTGTAAATTATTAGAGGCATTTTTTGCTCTTTATTGGCAGTGACTAAAATAATGTCCCAAAACCCAAGCTTGGGTAGAACATCTGCTGCTTTTCCTTGCTTTATGTCGCTGTAAACTCAATATATTAGATTTTTTTGACCCTACGCAGGACAAATCAGGACCGTACATTAAAGCTGCAGCAGTAAATCTATGAGTACAAGCTATATTGTCATTTTTTTGTAGCACAATGACTAAATAGTTTCTTGGTTTTTGCACTTTTTACTAACATTTTACGGATAAAATGAGAAAAATTCAAACCCAAAACCCAAACATCCACTTGTTTTACATTATTTTGGGCATTTTTCACTAATTCCTGACGCTTTGTTAACA